TCTCAGACTGATCTTGGTCATGATTAGTGTGGTCTTGACAAATTTTAGTTTGTTTGTTTTGTTGTTGTTTTTTTCAGTTCAGTGCAATAACAATGAGCCAAGTATCTATAATAAACATCTGAAAATGTTTGTCTAACTAGTGTAACCAACTGTGAGTTATCACTGCAAGTTAATGTAAGATAAAAAAAGAACTTTACTCATCTCATTTCGTTTGCATCATACCAGCTTCCTGTTGTTGCTCTTTTAAACTCATTTCTACAAAAACCTTTTAAAGTCCAGGCTGTGGTTAGATGAAATGACACATAAATCAATAAAATACTGTTATAATCAAAATCAAAATGTAAAAACGTTGTGTCCTTCATGTTTATATAGTGTTGTGTGTGAATGACTGTTTACCAAAATAATAATAGCTATCTACATTTGTGTATCGATGTTCTGGTTACACTGGATAGTTAAGGCAGTTTTCTCAAGAAGAGGTGCGAAGGACACTCCCTTCTTGAGAATACTAAGTTTCTATTTAATTACTCTGGTTTTTATTTATGGCAGCGTATGACATTTCTGTAGAGCTATTTTCACTGCTGGTTATTTTTTAATACATATACTATTGGTGTATTATCGTTTTTGCTCAGCACATTGGTAAGCTTTGACTGTTTTAAAAGTGCTTAGTAAATAAACTTGATTTGATTTGATTTAAACTGTTACTTCAAACAAATTTTTATTCAAGGAGAAAAAATATGTAGTCGGAAAAATACTCCAGAGAAGTACAGTTTCTTTAAAAAGTTCCCCAAGTAAATGTAACTGAGAACATATAACCTTAGAAAATTGGCTATTGGATTCAAGGATCAACTTTTCATGGAAATTAACTCAAGCTGATGAGTAAACTTTATCTAAGCAACTGATCTGAACATCGTTGGTCTTAGTGATCTATATTCACTTTTGTTATTCATACAACTAACTTTTTGCAGTTATTTTAAAAGTGTAATGCTATCTTGACTCAAAACTGAAACTAAAACTGTAGATATTGTGATTACTGGATAGTTAAGGTATTTTTCTTAAGAAGAGATCAAAGATACAAGAGTCACAAGGAAATTATAAATTATGTGGGTGCTACAAGAATAAAATTGTAACATTTTGACATTAAAGCTGATATTTAATGAGTATAGTCTCAACCAGAAAAATCTTAACTTTATGACATTAAAGTTGTAATATTTTGAGATTTGAGATTGAGTCGTAAGTTGCCAAACAAATGTGCAAAATCAACTTTTCAGAGCTTTTAACCATGATATAATTGTTTCCCCTTCTCATTTATCCTCTTGAAGTTGTATTTGGAGAGAATACAAATCTTTAATCTCTTATTTTCAAGAAGCCATATTGTCAACTCCTAGTTTCACTGCCACCAGAGTACACCCACTCCTCTCAAACTTACTTCTTTATCCAGTTTTACTTTCTTAATAGCTGACACACACAGGACTCAGCATCATCACGTAGTCAGTTTAGTACAAATGAAAAAACATTGTGGAGCCATGTGTACTGGGCAGCTCCCGTTTTAAACACCAATGATAATGTACAGTATCTTAATCTCTCTTGCCACGGTGTCCTATTTCTGTGTCCAAATGTGTTCACTTTAGACCAAAACACAGAGCTCAAACTGGTTAGAGGCCCTGATCCAGAATTATTTATGTGTCAGCACACTGTCCTCACAGAGTCTGGAGCACTGCGCCCACCCCGTATCCGTGGACGTTCCAGGTAGGCTGCATAAAATGCCACTATCTGCTTGGTAAACAAGTGTGGAAGGCAGTGTATGACATGTTTTTGTGCAACACTGAGGTTAATATATTATGTCGTAACTCCAAGTCATCTCTATTTAATTATAGAACAGGTATGTAGCCGTGTCAAGTCATGTCAGGGCAAGTTTAAAATGCAACTAAACATAAGTGGATTTCAGGTGAATTTCTTAAGTGGAGCAAAGTTGACTGGGAATGAGTAATCAAACCTTGTACACCAGTAAGAGGAACATTACTTCAAAATATGAATATTACTTGAAGTAGAAACTAATGGTCCAAGAAAAAAATGTGTTTGAGGAACTATTACTTAAGAATAATTGTAAGAATATGAATTAAAAAAAAAGTCTGGTATTTTAAAAGGATAAACCACAAAAATTAGAAAAAAAAATGTAATCTTTACTCAAGTGAACTGTTACCTTGGAGCTCGTTCATGGATCTTGATCGCCTCTTTGACCCAGCGGAGGTATTTGTTTTGTTTGGTAACATTAAAAAGAATGTGAATAGGAAATGACATACAAACAAACAAAAGCAACAGAAGAACAAGCCAAACAGGAAAATTTGAAATCAGCCATATCTGGTCAGTGTAAGAGACAAAATCACATTATGGGCTAGAACAATGCCAACGTCATGAGAGCTGAAAGAAACAAATACCTCCGCTGGATCAAAGAGACCATGGACAGCCGCAAACCAGGTCCAAAGAGCATGAATCATGAGGAGGGAGCATATACCCTATCACACATATGGGATGCAGTCCTGGAGAAGGCGTCAGGCAGTAGTGGGAGTACGTTTCCCCTACTGTCTGGGAAAGCCAAGTAAAGCAGCCTACAAGACACATCAGTACACCATCACATGGCACTTCTCAGGAAAGCTACAGGAAGTGTCCAAACATGTAAACACGTAAACAAACTCTCCTGTCTAACTAAAAAAATTGCTAGTTCTAAGTTTATAACTGAAGACAGAGGTTGCTTCTCAATTCCCACGATCCTTCCTCCAAAGACCACTTTGTAACACTCCTCCAGATTTGTCTCCTCCAAAACAGAGTCAAGTGTCCTGCTCATATGGAACAGGCTCTGGAGGGAGCGACTGGGCCATGTCACCTGACCAGATCAAACCCAGAGTTTTAATAAACATCAAAACTTCAACCAATGAAAAGTGGTCAGAAGTGTTTTTATGTGTCCACATTAGGGGTGTGCAAAAATATTCAAATATCGATATATCGTATAATTTAATGTAATGATACAATATGGTGATGATCAATATGGTGGGTTGCTGTTTCGATATATAGCCAGGATTTTTTGGTATATTTTACTAAGTTATTCATATATATTAATATTTCATATGAACTTTGCACAAGAAGTGATTTAACAAAGACTTTTTGTATCACATCCATGATTTTGAAATTATTTTTATTGAACTGTATTGAATCGATTTAAAATATATATATATATATATATATATATATATATATATATATATTATATATATATATATATATATATATATATATATATATATATATATATATATATATATATATATATATAAATATATAAATAAAAAATGTGTTTCTCACCTTCCACGGTGGTAGGTCTCTCTCACCCTCATTGAGCTCGGGTCCTCTACCAGAGGCCTGGGAGCTTGAGAGTTCTGTGCAGTATCTTTGCTGTTCCCAGTACTGCACTTTTCTGGACTGAGATGTCCATTGTTTTTCCCGGTATCTGTTGTAGCCACTCTTCCAGTTTGGGGTTACAGCCCCGAGTGTCCGATCACCACAGGCACCACTGATGCCTTTACTTTCCAGGCTCTCTCCAGCTCTTCCTTGAGCCCCTGGTATTTCTCTAGCTTCTCGTGTTCCTTTTTCCTGATATTACCATCGCTTGGTATTGCGATGTCAACCACCACGGCTCTGCTCTGTTTCTTATCCACCACCACTATGTCTGGTTGGTTCGCCATCACCATTCTGTCAGTCTGTATCTGGAAGTCCCACAGGATCTTGGCTCGGTCATTCTCCACAACCTTTGGAGGTGTTTCCCACCTTGATCCTGGGGTTTCCAGCCCGTACTCTGCACAGATGTTTCTGTACACTATGCCCGCCACTTGGTTATGTCGCTCCATGTATGCTTTCCCTGCCAGCATCTTACACCCTGCAGTTATGTGCTGGACTGTCTCAGGAGCCTCTTTGCACAGTCTACACCGTGGGTCTTGTCTGGTGTGGTAGATCTGGGCCTCTATTGCTCGAGTGCCCAGGGCCTGCTCCTGAGCAGCCAGGATCAGTGCCTCTGTGCTGTCCTTCAGACCAGCCCTCTCAAGCCATTGGTAGGATTTCTTGATATCAGCCACTTCAGTTATGTTCCGGTGGTACGCCCCATGTAGGGGTTTGTCCTGCCATGATGGTCCCTCCAGCACCTCTTCCTCTGGACCCCACTGTCTGAGACATTCTCTGAGCACCTCATCTGCCGGGGCCTTGTCCTTGATATATATATATATATATATATATATATATATCGTATCAAATCGAAAGCTCAAATCGTATCAAATCGAAAGCTCACTGTATCAAGATATGCATCGTATCGTGGCCTATGTATCGAGGTATGTATTGTATCGGTAAATTCTTAATGATACACAGCCCTAGACAACATGCATTAAAACATGTGAATAATGAATCCCCTTCCTTAAAAAAAATTGCTCGGTTTGCTGCAGCTGTCCTGATTTGAATTATCAATCTGATAATAGTGTTATCTGCTGCAATGTGGTCAAATATTTACTTCTTTTTTAATGTGTAATGACTTTTATTTTATTAAAATTTTACTGCTTAAATAAAGTTAGTAAAAATAAATACATAAGTTGCCATACATTGTGGGCAATTTACAGTGCTCCGAGGTGGCCAAGCATCTACAGTCACGCATGCTGGGTAAATGTGCCAAACGGAAGAGTCGAGCGTGGAGGACGTGAGAGCTTCAGGGGAATTAGAACACCACTTGGCGGAGTTCTGATGATGCAGATCTCTCCAAAGTGGGTCAGAAGCCGGGGATCTTCACAATTGGGAAACACCAACTATGAACCTTTACCAATGAGTCACCCATTGTTGTGTATTTTGGCAGCGTACCACTCGACTCATCTAGTGTTGGCATTCTATGGATTAAAGACCTAATAACATACAAAGGGAAAATTAATCAAGCATCTCAAGTTGGCAGTAAGAGGGTACGCAAACTTCGACGAGTCTTTGAGGTGTGAAGGGTCTGCTTTCTGGTTGGGCTGGAACGTTTGGAAGGTAATCTACTCTGCTTCAAAACAGGTAAGGACAATGACTGTAAAGAGAGGAAATTATTACTATTTTTTGTTTGTGTGAAGATGTCCAAAGCCCAGCATGAGATCACTGCAAAATATCAAGTTAAGTTTTTCAGTTCAAATATTGCTCAAATGTCTTATCTTGGCAAGTTTTATGTCTTGGCCCAGAAGGGGGAGTACAGTGGGTCAAATACAAAGAGAAGATTTCTCTTCATGAACAATGATACTTTGATTTGCAGGGATTTGCTAATTGCAATGACTGTTTCTATCATCTCAGACATATCTGGTCATTTTCCTTCTCATAATCTATTAAACAGAACACAACACCCTTGACATTTTCTCTAAATATTTCTATAAAGTCAATTATATTTCTTAGTCCATACCTGTACAAAGCAGGTTTGGAGGCACCACATTCAGATTGAGTGTGCTTACATGCGCACGAGTATCCCACTTATGACAGTATTCATGAAATGCCGTTTACAGGCACTCACAGAAACCAGGATACCCCTGTATACATGCACCATCAGAGTATCCTGGATATTTACAGTGTTAGAAGTTTGAGTCATTTGGGGGAAGTAACTCCTCCTACCATACAGTATTTGCCACTTCAGTTCGCACAGGCCCAGTACAGCACCAGTGTTGAGAAATCAGGATATGTGACTACATGCCACACTATTCTGGAAACAATCAGAAAAACCCCTGTGACAGTATCCTGGTATACTGTGTAGTGTGTATAAATGGGCACTTACAAAACCAGAATACTCAAAAAAAAAAAAAAAAAAAAAGATTATAACCAGAATACTCAAGTTCACATGTACACATTCACTGACTCAAAAGACCTTTCCTCATTGTGGTGATGAAACCTCAGCAGGCTTGTCTTCAACATGTCTTAACTGCCTAAGAGAAGAAAGAACTCATTTGAATTTTTAGGAAGTAGTTCTATGGAAAAATTCTATGGAATAATTAATCATTTCATCATCTCCTGTTCACCCACGTCACCAGACTCAAACAGTGAGAAATACAGGATGACATACCTTTTATGTAACAGATAATACTCCCTACAACTCACCCTTATGTAACAGATAATACTCCCTACAACTGTACAACAACTCACCCTCATGGAACAGATAATACTCCCTACAACTACAACAACTCATTCTTATGGAACAGATAATACTCCCTACAACTGTACAACAACTCACCCTTAGGTAACAGATAATACTCCCTACAACTGTACAACAACTCACCCTCATGGAACAGATAATACTCCCTACAACTACAACAACTCATTCTTATGGAACAGATAATGCTCCCTACAACTATACAACAACTCACCCTTAGGTAACAGATAATACTCCCTACAACTGTACAACAACTCACCCTTATGGAAAAGATAATGCTCCTTACAACTGTACAACAACTAATTTTATGTAACAGATAATACTCCCTACAACTACAACAACTCACTCTTATGGAACAGATAATACTCCCTACAACTGTACAACAACTCACTCTTAAGGAACAGATAATACTCCCTACAACTGTACAACAACTCACCCTTATGGAACAGATAATACTCCCTACAACTGTACAACAACTTATCCTTATGTAACAGATAATACTCCCTACAACTGTACCAATAACTCATTCTTATGGAACAGATAATACTCCCTACAACTGTACTGAATACACATATGAAGTCAAATATTTCCTCAAGTACATGACAAGGCAAATGCCTGAGCATCACTAGTCTTATGTACTGTTTTTTTTGGTTTTGTTTTTTTCCGTCCTTCTTCCACTACGTCACAATACTCAAGGCGTGGATCATAAAGTCAGCAGGTATTTATATCCATGTTCAGACCTGTACACGACATCACAGCTGCAACTTAAGGTAGGTCTTATAAACACCATCTTACTATCTACAATATTGGCTGATTGTAGTCTTTCTTTTTTTCCCATCGCTATTATCTTTAGATCTTCAAGTTGATTATTAAATAGTATAATTAAAAAGTTGAATTTATGATTTATCTTTTGAATTGTAAGATTTATTCCATTGTTTCTGTGTTTCTATATAGCTGCTTGTCTTTCACAGCACCTATCTTTGTTTAACTACGAAGAATTGTTAATATACCAGTTTGCCTACTTCGAAGCCTGTCTATAAGCAAGCCAACTGTATTTTCTTTATTTTAACTCCACTCCTTTGGTGACTAATCTGTTCTAACTATTAGCAAATGCACTGGACGTCACTATGGTCTCAGTGACCTATATTCATTAAACCTTGTTTTTATTCCAATCTATAAAAACTGCTAAAATCCAGCTACCCGAGATGATATTTACACAACAAATGTTTTATGATTAAGTGAGCAGTGCAATGTTGGATCTAGATTTTACTTTAAACTGAAACTTGAGAAATTCAGGTTACACTGGATAGTTTAGGTATTTTTCTTAATAAGAATTCCACTTAATAAGAGACACTCCCTTCCTGAGAATTATATTTTTATATTTTAGGCTAGTTCCTGGTTATGTTCTTATTATTATATTTTGGAACCTGGCTTGAGTATGGCATGTTCTTGAGTTAAAGAGTAGTTTATGTAATATTTTATGTTATTATGTTCAACTCCGGGTCACCTCTTTCTTGGCTGCTACAACTATACTTAATTACGGAACAGGTATGTAGCTATGTTTAGTCATCTCAAATCAAGTTTCAAATGCATTAAGCTACTAAACATAAGGTGATTTCAGATACATTTCTTTCTTTTTTTATTAATTATTAATTTATTCTGTGCTTTTTTTTCCCCATATAAGTCACAGTATACGAATATGCATAGTTTTTGGTTTTTGTTTTTAGTAATGATAATGATAATATTAAGAAGTATTAATTAACCAATAATTAAATAAAAATAAAGATAAAAAATACAGATACATTTTTTATGGGCAGCAAAGCCAACAGAAGTGGGTAGAGCAGTTAAAAATTGTACGGAGGTAAGAGAAACATTAATTCAAAGTAGTATTACTCAAGCAGAAGTACAAAGTAATGGTCCAAGAAATACTCATTTTAAAGTAAAAAAAAGACTTTTGGTAGTATCTGATTTACAACTTGACATTGAAGGACAAACTGGCATTTTCAAAGGATAAACAATGCAAAAAAGAGAAAAACAATCATACTATAGTAGCTTTGAAAGAAACACAAATGTTCAAATCATTTATAGTTGACAACATACAGCTTTTGTAACTCAAAAACATTCTTTTACTCCAGAGTATTATTATTTCAAACAATTTTTTGTAGTCCAAAAACTCAGAAAACTACAATGTCTTTAATAAGATACACAAGTAAATATAACCTTGGAAAACTGAATGTTGTTTCGAGAACCAATATTCCATGGAAGAAACTGGAATCTGAGCTGACTGGGCTTCATTATTTGATATAATTATAATTAATTGTTTCCAAAGAGGCACTGAGTCAGCCTGAGAGTATGACAACTTGAAGGAGCTTTTGAATTGGCACTAAAGTGGTGTGATCAAAGTTGCAATGTACACTTCTTTATAATGACACTGGCTTTCAAGTTTTGATAGTTGCAGCATAGTTTTTAGTTTCTGTTTGATATACTGAATATGCTATTACTATTTACCATTTGCTTTGCTCTTCCTAGGTTTAAAAAACATACATTATAAACTACATTATACTATGGGGTAGACAAGGGGCTTTTCATCTGACCCCTATGTTCAAGAGATAAGAGTATAGATAGATAGAGTTCAAATAAGTGCACACCCAGCTATAAAGATGTCCTGCGTGCAAGTTTTTCAGTTCAAATATTGCTCAAACGCTTTATCTTGGTGAGTGTTATGTCTATTTACTCATTAGAGAAGAGGCCCCATTATAAAAAAAGAAGTGTTCAGTAAAGACACCCTCATGTCTGTTCACTTCTATCTTTGGTTACAACTGGTAAGACTGGATTCCACCATCTGACAGCATCTAACAACTGTTCAAACTTTGAAACTGAAGGCATACACTGACCTAAAATACAAAAATAGCATGCATCTTGTGGTTGATTGCAAAACTGTCCATTAAGGGTACATTACTTTTCCTTATACTCAGTCTCCATATGAGTCTCATTGGGTGAATCATGAAGATTAATATTTTCAAAGTAAAATATTTTCCTCTACAAACAACAAAATACTATGGAAGCTCATTTCTGCCAGTAAATTAAAAATAAAAGCCTGACAGAGTTATAATTATGATTTTGCAATGCTATAATTATGAGTTTTAAAGGACATAATTATAACAGAGTTTAATAATAGTTATGATTTTCTGTGAGTTTTATTTTGCATACAAATCTGCACAAATATGCACTGAATTGTGATTATGATGTATTATATTTCAATACTTTTTCATAGACACATTTCAAAACTAAACATAAATTGAAAATCTTATCATGAAGCCATGCTTGTCAGAAAAATATTGTTTGTTTTTTTTCAAATTGTTGAGCACTTTTTTATGTTCTCCCCTTTGCGATCTGTGACCTCCAACATTCAAGTCCATTACAGCAGCAGTTTTGTGTGCCATCTCAGACCCCCGTCTCCTCTTCTTCACCAGTATCAGGACAACTGAGTTTTTAATGATTTGTCTACATCTGTTTTTCCTGTTCGAATACTTTCTGAGATTTATGACGACTAACATGCCTCTCTGCTTGTGTCCAGCCCTGCTCATGGCGCACTCTACTAACACTCTGGCCAAGGGCTGCTTTGGCAAAATCTACAAGGAGAAGTACGGCGATAAGTGGGCTGCCATTAAGAGGGTGCCCATTGGTCTCATCAGCAGGAAGGACCTGGACCGAGAGTGTCAAGTGTACAAGTAAGTCAAGTCCTTTGCTATTGGGACCAATATGGATTTTTTTATACCATTATCTGATATTGAACATGCTGCTGCGGCCGATACCACTATTAAGAATTAAAATTCCAGAACAAGGACCAACAGGGAATCCGAAGAGGTTTTTCTTCCCACTCTTTTTTGGGCAATTTTGCTGTTCTTGTTTCTGTTGTTACGATTCCACTGATGTCAGTAAGGATGATACTGTAGTTCCATTGTAAAAGAACGTAAAAGGTTTATTTGGGGGCGGCAGCAGCTCATTTGGTCGAGCGTTTGTCCGCTGATCAGAAGGTTGGTGGTTCGAATCGCTCTCGACATAAAAAAATACGGTTGGCGGTGCGAATGATCCCACAGATGAATGATAAATGCTGTTGTGTCCTTGGGCAAGACACTTAACCCACCTTGCCCCTAGTGTCTGCATACACTGGTGTATGAGTGTGTGTGTGAACGGGTGAGTGGTTCCTTGTTGTAAAGCGATTTGAGTGCTTTGAAAGTGGAAAAGCGCTGTATAAAAATGTGGCCATTTACTTGGGCACAAAACAATATATTAGTTAGTGATCAGCTTTGTTGCTTCCACAGAAAAAGCGAGCACCCCAACATAGTTAAACTCTTGGGACCTGTGAAACTCGAAGGTAGTAAATATGTCATCCCAATGGAGTTCATCGAGGGAGAAGACTTGGAGACTACAATTTTTCAATCAGCAAAGTCCAAACTAAAGGTAAGATATGTTGATCCATTTTATACCAAATAAATAGGTTACTGGTCTTAATCTGGTTTTAGTTAATGATCTTAATCTTATGTTTCAACAGTTAACTCAAGATACAAAAAACACCATCATCGTGGGCATGTGCGAGGGTCTGCTCCATCTGCACCTCTTAGACATTGTCCACCAAGACCTGAAGCCTGACAACATCATGGTAAGTTATTGCATTTGTAATCTTTTTCAAAATGGGTGGTAAAGTATTACACAAAAACCTTTTAACACATAAAAAAAAAGCCCACATTTCCCTGCTTACAGACCAGGTCAGTCCAGTGCAGACTTTATTGTTCCCAGATGTGTATTCCTGTGACCTGAATGATTTTTCTTAGTCTCTACTTGTACAAAGCAGCTTTGGAGGCACTTGGATAAGACACTGCCACATTCATATTGACTCAAAACATTTTTGTCGTTCTGTTGATGAGTTCAAACCTCAGCAGGCTTGTCTTCAACATGTCTTATTGCCTTAAGCCTTAAGGCTATAGAGTTATCAAGTTTATCAGTCAAGTTTATTCTGCTGTTTTGGAGTTACCACACAACCTGTTTGCAGCATTTCAAGACTTGTTCTGTTCTTCTTGTTCTCATCAAATCTGAATATGTTTTATTTTAGGATTTTTTTTTTTAAATTTTTTGAATATTACTTTATATATTACTTTTAAACTCAAATATTTATACTCAAATATTCTCTCTATATCTCTCTCTCTCTGTGTGTCTCTCTCTCTATATTTCTCTATATCTCTCTCTCTGTCTCGCTATATATCTCTATCTCTCTATTTCTCTATCTCTCTCTCTCTCTCTGTCTCTCTCTCTCTATATATGTGTATCTCTCTCTCTCTTTCTCTGTCTCTATCTCTCTCTCTCTCTCTGTCTCTCTCTGTGTGTGTGTGTGTGTCTCTCTCTCTCTCTCTCTCTTTCTGTTGTGTGTGTGTGTGTGTGTGTGTCTCTCTCTCGCTCTCTCTCTCCCTCTCTCTGTCTCTCTCTCTATATATATCTATATATGTCTCTATCTCTCGCTCTGTGTGTACATGTCTCTATAACTCTCTCTATCTCTCTCTGTCTGCCTCTATATGTCTATATATATCTCTATATCTCTCTCTCTGTGTATATGTCTCTATATGTCTCTCTCTCTCTCTCTCTCTCTCTGTGTGTGTCTCTCTCTCTCTCTGTCTGTCTGTCACTATATACTGTATCTCTATATATGTCTGTGTGTGTGTGTGTGTGTGTATGTCTCTCTATCTCTCTCTATCTCTCTCTATATTTCTCTGTCTCTGTCTGTCTCTATATGTCTCTGTATGTCTCTCTCTCCCTCTCTCTCTCTCTTTGTCTCTCTCTGTCTCTCTCTCTCCATCTCTCTCTCTCTGTCTGTCTGTCTGTCTCTCTCTCTCTCTGTATTTTTTTTCATTTGCTGTTTCATTATTTACTTTCACATCTCCTTACACAAACAGAAAATTACATATACTGTATTTCCTGTAGGTGGAGCACAGCACAAACAGAGCTGTCATCATCGACCTGGGACTGGCCAAGTTCTACAAAAACGGCCTCAATTCGGCTATGGACATGGGCAACGAGGCGTACTCTGCTCCCGAGGTCCTACAGAGGGCCAGCCAAAGAAGCCAGCGTTCTGACGTCTGGGCCATGGGCAAAATCATCGCCGAACTGTGCGCCCGCCTCCGCCTGGTCACCACCAGCGTTAACCCGGACAAGATTAAGGAGTATCTGAAGGACAGTCCATACACGAATGCTGTATGTCGCATGGTGCAACCTGACCCATCTCTGAGGGCTTCCATGCCCGGTGTCATCGGTGCCATCCGGGTAGCGGCAGCTGAAAAACCCAAAGCAGGTGCGTAGGGATGTCACAATATCAGATTTGAGTACTTTGAGAGAATATTGTAGGAAAAACAGCACAATTTAAGGATTATTGATGATTATTGACACTGTGACTAAACGGAATAGGCCCTTTATGATAATTACTATATCGACTTATAAAAGCTGACAAAGTTTTATGCCGTATTGTGTCATATTATAGCCAAAGGAACAACATTTGCAGTTACATTTGGCTTTAATATTGCTTCTAAAATAGTCACGATTATGTTTTTTTTTTTTTCCATCTGTATTTATGGCCTGAATAATCACAATTTTTGATTAACCTAGTCATCTTGACATGCTTACAGGTGGGACAGCGAACCATCTAAAAGTACAGTCTAACCCCCACACTGGCCGAAATCGCTCCCCATCGCCCATGAACAGATTCGAGGCTGCCAACAAGTCTCTCCCCTCACAATCTCTAGCGCTGCCCAAAGATCCAAAAAAAGCTTCATCTCACCCCACACACACCCCCTGGGTTGAAGTGAAGGCGCAACAACAAGCACACGTCACCCCTTCTCCTCCAAAGGCTCAGGAGAAAAATTTGCAACTGGTGCCCAAAGGTGGCACTAACCTCACACGTGACATGATGAAGATGAAGCTACACGAAGAGGCAACGAAGGATCTCCATGGTTTCATACCTCAATCTGGTCATATTCTAGTGCAGAAGTATGAGGAGAAAGATGGACAGATGGAGACATGGGAGCAGAAGGAGGTGGTGTTACGCGAGGGGCGGGTTGTCAAATATAACAATGTGAGGATGAATACTTAGTAAGTCTACAGAGCGGCTGCATATGCATGAAAACAGATTCTTCTTTATATAGGTTGGCAAGCCCTTACTGTGATGAACAATCACTGTCTCGTTCAACCAAAGACAGATTATATGGGATGTTATTGAAGATCCACAGCATATGAAAAAACAGACTCTTAGATATGATCAACTACTATGATATATTTTATTGCTACAGGCTAATTTGACATGTTCAGTTTGTGTGATACTACTGTAGGGGCTAAAGCTTGTTTGCTCCTTGTAATAACTTAACCTCTTCAAAGGAAAGATGAGCCTCTTTTAAGCATTTAGGACTTGATGTGGTTGCAGCACTGTAAAACGACAGTGTTACTCCAGCCATCTTTGTTCATCAAAATCAAGAACATTTCTTCATATGTTGTATTTTCATGTTATCACGTGAAAATACAACAGGTGGGCCAGGGGTGTCCAATCTGTAGCTCGGGAGCTACCCATAACTTATCCAGTGCTTTCCAAGTAGCTCGCCAAGGGATTTCTGAATTATACATACTGTGCTGAATAGCTCAAATCTGATGAATTAAATGTCTATTACCTTTGTAAAGGTATAATTTTGATGATTAACTTTGTGCATTTATAAATGGATATTGATTTATGTTTTATAGGCATCTAATTGTTCTAAAAGGTAAATCAAAATATAAATTAATTATTGCTAATCAATTGTACAAATGTGTAAACTTTATTAAATGGCAATAAGATGATAAAATGGAAACATAAGGTGTTTCCATGTGTGTTGGTTGTGTCAAAACCCAAATGAACTGATACAAATTATTCCTAACAAACATTTATTTAAAACAAATAAACAGCAGTTTGTAGTTATTTGTCACTGTATATTTTCTGTGAGATTTCTACTATTTAATTTGGAAAAATAGGGCTTTAATATTTGATTAATGCTTCTCACTGGGAACCACTTTCTTCTTCTATATGAAAAAGCACACCTGCATACCTTTAGACCTGCATTAGTTGCTTTTCGCAAGTGTGAAACTAGCACATTTTCAGTCACAACAGCTGGATGAGGAGTATAGGCTCAAAGACAGCTTGGGTTTCATCTCTGGTAGGTCACCACGTCCAACTGGTCCGACTTGAGAACAGAGGTAGGGTATGGAATTTTTTGGGGATCATGAGCAAAATTATCAGAAGATCAAATGAACATCAAGGATAAATCAAAACCATGTCTGAAGAAGTGTCCTGTATTTTCCTGAAGCGGAGCAGGTCCAGAACACACACATCTCCACATGTGTATAATAGTGCTGTTATTCTACTGACGCTGTCTATAGTCTGGTGCAGTGGGTGATCAGGAGTGTCCATGATGGAGAGCAGTTTGTCCATTGCCCTCGTGTCCCTCATTGTGACAAATGTAAATCCATGCGATCCATGTGTTCTTCTCTCTAGCAAAAAACAGTCTGTTCCACCTTGTGATGTCATGTACAGGAAGTGTTCCATGTGTTTTTCAACTCCATACCTTCGCTAGAATCATTTGGATAATTTCAGCCCTGGAATTTTCTGTCTCTAGTAAACCAAATGTAAAAGTTAGCTGTTAACTTCAAAACTACCACTTTATGACATCACATGGTGGAACAGAGCATTTTGAGCTTTGGAGATGTAAGGATAAGTCAAATGAGTGAATATATGTTTATAACAACATTCTAACATGCCTCACAAGAGTCAACTTTTGCATAATATAGAACCTTTAAATGGCGTCTGGATAGTTAAATTCTGAGAGAAAAACACAATACAAACATTTGTACCTGTTTTTGAGCTACTAGCATGTCAGCAATAGCAACACATGAAATTAACATCTTATCTTGTTTAGTTTTTAACAGCTACTGTTTAATTATTTTTAGGCTACGTTTACACATAGCCGGGTATTTTGAGAAACAAATATTTCCCTCCCTCTGTTTTCCAGAATAACATCGTGCACACAGCATTGTTTTCAAAAAAGTTTTCGTTTACATCAACCGTATAAATACGTTCCCGTCTGGAACCAGGACAGGGACAATCTGACCAACACTGAGAGCCGTAGACTGATGCTCAGTACAGTGAATGATTGAAATGTTGCATTATGCTACATTATCAAGTTCTCAGATGATACTGCCCTCCTCTCTCTCCTGCAGGGAGCAAACAGACCACGGCCGAGCTCTACCTGCTTTCATTGAATGGTGTGATAATAACCACCTGGACCTAAATGTAGCCAAAACCAAAGAAATGGTTGTGGACTTCCGGAAAAAAGTCCACAACCCGATAGCCAGTTCCATCCATGGAGAAGCTGTAGAAATGGTCGACTCTTATAAGTACTTGGGAACTGTGTTTGATTCCTCTTTAAGGTTTGATAAGAACACTGAGCACATCGTCAAACGAGGACAGCAGCGGGTTCACTTGATGCGGAAGCTCAGCTCTTTTAATGTGTCGTCTAACATTTTAAATAATTTTTATCATTCTTATATTGAAAGTTTGATGACCTTTTCTTTTATCTGTTGGTTTTATGGATTATCTGTGAAAGACAAGAACAGTCTGAACCAGATTGTAAAAGTTTGCAGCAAAATCAGTGGTGTTCAGATGGAGGATTTGGCCTCTGTGTGGAGACATCGGGTGTTACAAAAGACTAAGGCCATACTGAGCCAGCCTAACCATGTTCTGCACTCACAGTTCATGAAAATGCCCTCTGGGAGGCGCTATGTCACCCCACAACAAAAGACTAACCGTTACGCCAAATCTTTTATTCCTTCTGCCATAAAGATTTTAAATGGAAAGTGAATTTGTTACTGTGTCCCTGATGCACTGAGGTTTGAACGTCTGGTGTCTGTCTTTCTTTTTTTAAATTATTATTTATATTTATATATTGTGCGTGACCAGAGATGTGCAAACTGAATTGCCCTTTGGGATTAATAGAGTTGTTGATTGATTGATTGATTGAAATGTGTGCATGTTTAACACATTAGAATGAGCCATCAGTCTTTATTCATGCTAAGATCCTTAAAACCACACACTAAATATTCAATATTGGCTTTATCAAGGTAGATTTTCAAAAAACTTGCAGTAAAAATTTTTTTTTTAATTAATGCAAGGTAATTTGGGCCAATTCACCTGGACGTCTGAGGGCCAAGAAAAATTTGTCTCAGGGCCGCATTTGGCCCCCGGGCCATAGTTTGGACATGAGGAACCACTAGCAGATGGCAGTGTTTCTTTACAATCCGCTAGCTTCCGTTCGAGCTTTTGTCTTAAAAAATTAAAATAAAATTAATAATAATAGTACATTAATAAAATAAATAATGAATAATTATCATTATCGTTGTCGTCATCATCATAATAAGTAATAAAAAAAATAATCTGAAAATGTTTTAAACTGCTCTACGTTGCAGATGTGGCACTAGTTTCACTAAATACAATTTTACAGCTACAGCTATTTTGTTGCTCTCCAAAACGTGCGCAACATCAATCAAATCTCTTACAATTAATAAGCCATAGAATATATTTTGTAGTTTCTTCCTAGCTCCTAAAAATATGTCATAGGACACCTTTTGATGCTCAACACAGGAAACTGATGAGAAAGGGAGATGTCTGCAGGATCAGCCTACTTTCATTTGATCAGACGTGGGTTTTAAGCACAGGAGGCTTTAGTTGTTTTTTGCAGAAAAGCTGAGTTTTTCTCTTTAATTGATCAAAATAAACAAGAATCATGAGAGTTTCGGTAAGTTTTATTTAACTACTTGCTATACTATTTTGAAGCTGACAGTGGGCTATATGTCATTGGGTGTTATCTGGAGTGGGGTAAGGCTTATGTCTTGTCATAAGGCTGGACAAACTTAAATGTGTGTTTGAATAAAGATAAAACTGTAGCTTAAGCTACTAATAAAATAACTGAAATCACAATTAATGTATTTGAAATTGTAGAGGAAACATAGACTTTAGTTAATGCTGTTTTAGTTTAAAAGCCACTATCGATCAGAGGGCACGACCTAGCTTCCTACATCATTCAGTAAAAAAAAAAAAAAAAAAAAAAAAAAAAGTTTTAATTACAAAATAATAATTTTTGGCTCATTTCCATCTTTAGTCCTTCGGCAGGTTAATGTCAATATACATGGCTATACAGCCAATCATAAAAAATGATTCATTTTTGAATCATTTTAATTACAAGGTAAATGAGAGGATTTGAAATTAGATGTTAAACCAACAATCCCTCAATATAAAAATGAAATTTACATGGTAACATATTTGACCCTCCAATAACCATTGTTTCAGAGCTTTAGAATCCTAATCACAATTTACGGTGCACTCTGTAACATTTCTGGTAGAGGGCCTTCCTCCAGTATATCTTTTCTCCATAGAAATAAGCAGGAGACCTCACCAGGTAAAATTACAGGTTAAATCTGTGGAGAGGTGACGCTGCTTAATAGTGGCAGAGCCCTCACCTGGAAAGTTGCTCCTTTAAAATTTGAGTAATTTGACTGCCCAATGGTTCAATTAAATGTGCTACATAAACCTGCTACTGGATAATGTGGAAACAGCATTAAAGGACCTATATTACAGTATTTTATGTTTCATTCACACAGGTTTTTCTCTCAAACTGAAAACAATGTTCCACCTTGCGATGTCATGGAAATACAGGAAGTGCTCAACTGTGTTTTTAATCTCCATACATCTTCACAAGAATCATTTGGATAATTTCATCCCTGGAATTGCCAATCTCGACTGAACAAAAGGTAAAAGGTAGTTGTTAACTTGAAAAATACTGATTCATGACATCACAAGGTGGAACAGAGTATTTTAAGCTTTGGACATGTAGACAGACTAACAATAGAGGATTACACGTGTGTGAATGAAACACACACTGGCACCTTAACTGAACAGGGCAGCGTGCAATTTTGATCAAATAATCCAACATCCTTTAGTTGACCTGTGTCTGTGATTTTGTGACTGACCAGCTCTTTATGTTTGTCTATTTATATTATTGTATTGTCTTTCTGGGTGTATTGTTTTTACTGTGTGTATTTGTTTTATGATAACATCAACCAGTCTAGGGACAGCAGATGGAAATGAGCCTTGGGCTACAATCTGATAATATATTTACATATCATGTATATGTTCATTAATGTGTTTTCTCCCTATTTTAAATAAATAAATAAAATAAATAAACAAATAACCAAAACACAACTCCGTTTTTGATGAGGTTATAACATTATAAAGATCACACGTGTCAATATGTGTACTGTAGGACCTTCAAAAGTACCATATATCAAGAAGTGAACATTATGTCTAGACTGGAAACTTGTTAAGCAGCATTCTTACTGTAAATACAACCCACTTCATGCATGAGATCTTAACACTGTTGTTGGCTCTTGTAGAGAGATGCCTGTTATGCCAGTGTAAAGACTCCAGAGGTGTACAAAGACTTGCGGGATGGACATTGGGCTGCGGTGAAGAAGATCCCCGGAGATGAAGTGCACCGTGATGACATGAACATCCATTATGAAATCTATAGGTAACTGTGGCGCCAGTACAGAACCAACATATAACAAATGTCCAGTTAGATTATGACTAACAATACGAAAATACAACTCTGGGGATGTTTATGATGAGGAAATAATATTATAACATAGATCAGAAATTAGCATAATATGGACCCTTCAAAGCTCAATGGAGTCCAAATGTTGGCAAAGAGAGACTGAAAAAGATGGATTATAGTAATAAAAATCAGCTAATAGGCTGTGTACATTTGATCCTCAATCTTAAATCTTTACATTCTAATATGTAACAATATGCTATGTCAGTTATATACAGTTTATGCCTAATAACACAAAGGAAGAACTCAGAAT